AAACCAATGCTTAACTGTTTGTCTCCTTGGCAAAGGAAGAGCCAATAGTAGGAGAGATTAGGAGATAGATTAGGAGAGAGAGAGAGAGAGGAGGAAGAAGAAGAAGAAGAGGAAGACGAAGAGGAAGAGGAAGAGGAAGGCTCCTGGAATGCTTTGTCACATTGTCATCTTGCAGGCGGGTTTTTGTGTCATCGTGGGGATCCCCATTCTGTTCGGGCAACGCCACAACTTTCCATGCGCCCGGAACGTTCCCACTCCGTATCCTGCAGGATCGCCTGGTGTAAGATCTGTCGTGAGCGGATTGGTGCACGCACTGGTGGGCCAGAAGGCTTCAAGTGTAGCTGGGCAGATGACTGGTCAGGCGGACGACTGGTCTTTGGTGGGGAACCCCGGGGCGGACGACTGGTCCACCACGCAGGTCGGACTGTCCTATTTTCAAGCAATTTGGGTGGGGGGAGAAGTACGGCACCACTTTTGGATCCAAATGGGTTTTCTCATGTGTCCATGGGCAGCGAGAGCTGCTTAGGACATTAGGATTGGATGGGAGAATGCTAGCTCACTGAAATTGCTTGCAATCGCTTGCAACAATGTGTACAAGTTAATTTGTTCTTTAAACCACACAGTCTGAAGCCAGTGCCAGTGCTGCCCGGTTTCAGCACCCCACAGATCGCACACGCAGAAAGATGTGGCTGGACGCCCAAAGCAGACAGGATTGTGCATCATTAGAGGAGTCAACCTCCCTGGATGAAGCATTGAGCTTCAGGGTACTGAAACATGTTGTAAATATCAGATGGTGAGTGGTGCGCCAGACTCGTCAGATTCGTTGCTTTGTTGTGATTGGTCATCGTCAAGTGAGTGTCAAGTGTGACAAGTGACGTCCTGTGCATTGAAACAAAAGCAGTGGCATCGTCAACGTAGTGGTTGACGATGCCATGTGTTTCATGTATATAGTGACCCATCGCAAGAGGTACATTTGCCAAATCCCACATACTGCATATATATATATACTGTATTCCCTTTAATGTAAAACCCTCTACCGACATGGGGGTGGTTGACCCGGGATCTATGTAGGGAACATCCGACATTCTACCTGTCGTTGGCTGAGGTAAAGAATGTGAAGGCTTCGGACAAGGTCCTTCCGTGCCCGTTCCGTGCCCGTTGTGTTTCCGATCGGACAACGTGCTGCGGGACGGTTGTGTGTTCACATCACATGTTGGTTGTGGGGATGTTCGTGGTGTCCAATCGGGCGGTGGTGTTTGTGCATGAAGAATATACCCTAGGGCTCCAACCATGTCCTCAGAAGGTGGTTAGACCCCCAAAACCCACCCCAACCATCTTCTCAGGAGGTGGTTGGAGCCCTAGGGCTGTATCAATGTGGGTGCATCGATTTGCTCAGCTCGTGGGTTTTCCAATCCTCTGAGTCGATACATCACGCCGCTATCAGCTCGTTCAATGAGGTCCTTCCCAGGCTGCGGCAGGTCCTTGGAGTTGGTTGTGGTGTTCTTTGGCGAAAAAAAGGGGAACTGCTTCCCTGACTCAACAGACACTTCCCCTGGCTGTCCAGTACATGGGCTGTTACATACGCGTTTTTTTCAGGGCTGTGAATACGCCCTAAAAGAGATCCACGTGGAAACTGAAAACCACTCGGTTGTGGAGGAAGCGTTTGTCTTCCAAAGGTCCATGCCAGGTTCCTTATTAATCTTCCCAGGTGGGAGGCCCTGGCAAAGCAGCACCACTTGGGATTTGAGCTGTTCTAAGATCTTCAGACTCAGGGCTTTGACATGTCATTATACCATCCAAGGATATCCAAGGAACAGTTTTGGAACTGCAGGCAGGGCGTGTCGGGCCAGGACCCAACTCGAATTTCTGGGTGTGCTTGCAATGCTACCGGAAGAATCAGAACAACAACACGCAGGACGGGAAGGCATGTTGTAGGTCTTGCCGCAAATTGACGATGGAACAGGGCACACAACTGGTTTGAGCTGGGTATGTGCTTTGATTCCTGTTACTTACTTACGGTCAAGCTCCATGCTGATCCTTCAGCACAAACATCTGACTGCAAGTCCCCTTTGCTTTGGCATTTTGCAACTCTACGTTCACCATCCAACGACGCAGCCGTATATCATGCCAGATTGAGAGTTTAGACCGATCAAGCATCGAATGATTAATGCCGTATATAATTAATGGCCTTAGTTGATCTTAACTATTGAACAACAAGCGGACAATAGACTGAGCACAGCAGGTGCCTTGAGGTCTTATTTGAGCCATGGTCATATGTCATATTATGTCAAGTTGAAAGTGAAAAGTCTGCAGGTCGTTCATCGCACTGTGCATTGGAGCACCCCCTCGTGGCCCCGTACGCGCGCGTACGCGGCCCAGCCGTACACCTAGCCGGCTTGGCGTCTCAGGAGGGAATCTTGCGCGGTGATCGGGGGCCCAAGTACGTGCGCCAGCGGGTGGACGAAGGACCAGGGTGATGTCAGCATCGGCTTCGAAGTTGATGTTGATCTATATCAAGACCCAGCTAAATCTTATAGGTTATGCCGCCCTATAGAACAGAACAAGTAGGAGCTAGCTGTCAGTCATAGTGAAGAGCCAAGCTGTGCTAGGTTAACTGTTCTGGATGCATACTTGTACTGTATTTTTCAATGTAATAGAGATATGCAGATATACACCCCTGGCACTCTAATTACGAGTTACCATGCTTTGGTAATTCGCTGGAGCGACTGTATACCGCTGTTCCGCCATAAGCAACATCGCTCTGATCCAAAGGACTCATTCAGCTGCCAGAACCAGGATCACACGTGGTACGTGTTGATGATCAAAACGGATGACAGAAGCAGTCAGCAGATAGTTTCTTTCTTGATATGCACCTTGAACCTGAGTGACCTCTAGTTTTTATACAACTAACCTATCAACACAGGGGTCAAATGGGTTCCAGGCAGCTTTGTATATTTGTATTATATATAAATATGGTGTAAGTTTGCACATAATCAAGTTAGTTTTCCCGGACTGCTAGGTTTTACCGTTTTGTATTGACTCGAAAAACGTTCTTTGGCAGTCTAGCAGTGCATGTTGAGTATCGTTGTGTGATGTTGCTTGTTATCCATGCATGTTGGTCTGTCAATCCCTGAAGGGTTTTGGCCGTGGCCTTTTCCCGTGCGATTCCCTGGCAGGTACCGGAACTCACGTCCTGGCAATACTTCTGGCGCGCCGTGGAGCTCTGTAAACCCTTTCGAGTGGTTCTCCAGCAACTCGGTTTTGGAAGAGGCGCGCCTCACTGGAGGCCATGGAAACCGGCACCCAGCGTGCTGGTGATGTTGGGAACTCAGCCAGGATGGGAGGTACAGGTCATCCTCACCGAGTGCCGCCGGAGGTTCGGAAGGAGTGACTGGGGTCGTACCGTGCTCACGCAGCGAGGTCAGTGCATGTGACTGGGTCATTGCATGTATAGATGAAAAAGGCGAAACAGAACTTCGAATGAGCTCAAATGCCTCATGTTTCTGTGCAACACCACAGTGACTGGCTAAGACATGCCTTTTGACTTTTCATCACCGCTACTTGGTCCAAAGAAGAATGTGATGGGGGCGAGTTTGTTTCATTGTAGTCTTTGGTTAAGCAGAGTACGGAGATGTGACGTTTGCACTCAGAGTTTACTCAGATGATGATACCTGTTTTTTTTTTGTTTCCCAGGGAAGGAGGTCTAGTTGAGTCGAACAAACTCGTTTTGTGGATGTTTTGGTCCATCCCTGATGATGGGACATCTTCTAACATGATTCAACTATTACTATATCGAATTTCATCTGAGGCACCTGGTGTCCTCACCACTCGGGAAGCACCACTGACCTCCTCCCGACCACTCGTGGTCCGTCGACCGAGGTGTGCCGTGGCCTGCACGTGCATTACACAGCTGGGTCGAATTCTGCTGCCCAACTATCAAGGGAAGATCATCAATAGCCTCATCGCTGGCGACAAATCTGCGGCGTGGCGAGCGGGATGAGACCGGGAGGATGAGGTGAGACCTGGGAGTGTTTCACGCACGCCTTGGTCGGCCTTTTGGTGGGGAGAAGATCCAGTGCATTGGCCCAAACGAAGCTGAACATCATGCAGCGCCAGCGGACAGAAGGTCCTTTTGGGATTGCCATGTTCGGAAGGGCATGTTTAAGGTTTACGCCGAACTGCGGGCCGGGCAGGCAAGGGCAGGTGCAGGCCGGTATCGGTTGCCCTCGGTTGTCCTCCGTGTCTTTTGCGTCTTTTCCTCTTTCTCTTTCTCTTCTTCTTGCTCTTTGCCCGTGTTCTTGCTCAAGTCCCGCGAGGGAAGGCAGTACGATGATACAGGAGTAAGAACGTTCCTTTGCCTTTGTCTCTTTCTTCCGCTTTCTCTTTCTCTTCCTCTTTCTCTTTCTCTCTCTCTCTCTCTCTTCCATTCTCTCTTTGTTGTTTCCCTTTCTCTTTCTCTTGATCTTTCTCTTTCTCTGGCTCTTCCTCTTTATCTTTCCCTTTGTCTTTCTCTGTCTCTTCCTCTTCATATTTATTTTCCATTTTCTCTTTCTCTTGCTCTTTCTCTGCCTTTGTCTCTTTCCCTTCCGCTGTCGCTTCCTCTATCTCTATCCCTTCCTTTTACCCGTCTCTTGCTCTTGCTCTTTCTCTTTCTCTGGTTTTCTCTGGAAGAGGAAGAGAAGGAGAGCAATCAGAAACACGAAATGCTGACAATCACTCGGGCAGCATATCTCGCACCCCGGGCTCTTGAAAACGACAGCATACTCAGCAACATATCCATCTCGAAACGATATGTGGAGACATCGTGCATCATGTCGACACTTTCGACAAAAATGCCTCTGTCGACGCTCTCCCCAGTGGCCAGCGAGGTTCCAGGTGCCTGAGACAGAGCAGGCCCAAGCGTGCCACGGTCGGTCAGCGGTTCGCGGCTACCTCCGGTAGGAGGGAGTGCCGGCGGTGCCGGCCAGGGCCCGCCCGGCCCGATTTAAAGCAATATAAATGAATTATAAACTGCAGTGGGTGCTTGCTCAGATGACCATCCTCAAAAAAGCGCCGCCCATTCTCGCATGTGATAGTTCTCAGGAATTGTTGGCATTGGGGATGGAATCGATCCAACAACTGTGGAAAAGCAACTGACATGAATGAGTGAGGCTGAGTGAACATGTGGAAGATATCGCATTCATTTGGAAGCGATTCTTCTTTGTTGGAACTTGGAACGCGTGCGAAGTCATCCCCGTTTAGCACCTAACAGGGGGTGTCAACTGAAAGCGTCACGTCTGAGAGGCTGCCAGCAACCTCAAATTGTTGGCACTTCACCACATTTTTGTTGGTTTTCTTCCCTCCAAACTGCCATGAACTCTGACAAAAACCCGTGGAAGATGATTTTCCTCTACAACCCTGTCGTATTGGGGGTCCATGCTAGTCGGCAGGGGGGTACACCCCAAGAGTGTTTGTTGCGCGATGGTTAATGATTGGAGGTGAGACTAAGTGACTAAGCGCCACATCCTCAGAGCAGTGAAACACACCCAAAAACATGTTTGCTTTCAATCTTGCCCATCTCTAACACCTGCGTGGGCCGCAAAAAGCGGCCATGAATGCAGTGATTTGAAAGGAGACGTCAGTAGTTTTGAATGGGGGTCCAATGGAATTCTGAATACTTGTGCCATCTACTTTATGAGCTCGCTCATTTGCAGAGGCATGCCGAACGCCTGAGGTCTTTGAATCCTTGTTGCAGCTCGGGCCGCACAAAAAATATCTAGGCCCATTGGGGTCTCCGTTCGCCTGAGCCTGCAATCCTGAGAAGTGGGTAGCTTGTGTGGTTGTGCAGCTTGGGTAAAACAAATTTCCAAGAGACCCCATACAGAACCTATCAACTCAGTCCTCCAAGATCCCAAAAGCAGCATCTTCAGCATCATGTTTCTGGAAGGCATTATAGGTTGTTATGGTGTTTTGTGTCAAAACACTGCTGCGTCCAGTACTGAATCCTCTGGAATCATCCCTCGATGTTCCCAGGATTGGCTTCCAATCTAGGCCTCTAAAAATCTGGTGCTGTTCTTCGTGCCCGATGAGTTGATGAGTGGAGATCATCCAATTTGTGGACCAAAGACGGCTTGAGCACAACTTAAGACAAATGAATTCAGCAAGATTGAGAACATACTTTGATAATGTCAACAATGTTCAATACCTTTCGACACCAAAGAACATGAAGGACTGATGGGCTTTTAGAAGGGCCCCAGAATCCCACCCCAACGCGCCGACATGTGCCGACATGGACCGAACCGCCCAGCAGACACCTGCTCAGGACCACGTTCATTTTGGTCTCTGTAGGGACCATGCTCTTTGCTTCCGTCCAATCGATTTGCGTGGAGATTGTGCAGCGCAGGAGAGACTTGAACATGGAGGGAAACTGACTAGCCATTGGTAAAGATAGAGCTATACCAGCTAGACTCGAATCAAACAAAGTTAACACATATTGCCTAAAGATCGCATACTGTGCCAAATGAAGGGTCTTGGACATACACCCCACATACACAGTGCTACTTTCATTGATTTCCCTTTTTTCCAGCGGTTGTTTTATTTTCAGGGAGTCAGTCTCCCTCTTTGAATTCAGACCGCACGACTCGACTCCTCAAGACCTCAAAAGCAAGAGAATCTTTCAAGCCTACGGAGGCTGGCAAAACAGTGGATGGCTTGATGTATCTCGGTATGTTCTTTTTCACAGTTTCCCAGATTCTCAATAAATGTTGTGCATGGTCACTGTGTCATAATAACTTTTCCAAGACCGTCAAACATCCACAAAGGATTTGTTTTCTTCGCACTGTTCGACCTCCAAATTTGGGCTGCCAGGCAAAACTCCGGCGATTTCCAATCAGATCGGACGACCTTGGGTCGTCACTCTAAGGGTGAAAACACATGAAACTACATGTGGACATGAAGAAGCAAATGCTCCCAAGTTTCCCAAGTTTCAGAGCTGATATGAGTAGATCTCACAAACAAATGATATTATATATATATATATATTGGACAATGCCCCCCACAGTAACAGTCGCAAAGTGCTTTCCCTACAAAACTTCCTAAGAGAAAGAGCACCAGAAATCTCAAACTGAAATCAGGCCACTTGAACAAGGTGCCATCTTCAATTCTGATTTGAAGTGTGAAGGTTTACAACCCTGTCATCTCATCTCATTCACTCCCGAAGGCCCTCTCATCTCATTCACTCCCTGTTCTTCACCAACCTGATGTTGAGTTACACTGCACGGCCTTCATGAACTTGGCTGCTTTGAAGAGGCTAATGCAGTGTGTAGCCTTGCCAGCACCAACACTTATCTAGACTTATAGTTTAAAATGGCTGTTCCTGGGTATTGCTTTGGAAGTATGGCTAAAGGGCTTATGGCTAAAGGGCTTGCAACTTGCACTTGCTGAAGTTATCAGGTAGCCAGCCTTAGTCATCTTTTGTTGCGCTGTTCAACCAACATGCAGTTGTCACCAAAAAGCTTTGTTCACAGTCACCCTTTGCAAAGAAGTCTGCAGGACCAAATATAGTACAGTTTGCAAACATCAATCTACTTCACTGCGTTGCCCTGCTTTTTCTGCACCTCTCATCTCTTTCAAATACTTCCCGGACTCTGCATCCTTGTCCCAGTCTTCCCTTCCCTCTTTTCCTTGACTTTCTTTCCCGTTTCCCAGATTTGGGCCTGGCTGCCTCACCTTTTTTCATTTTTCCCCAAACAGAACAGTTTACTGTTAGGGGTTCTCAATTCTTTCTTAAGATGTGTCCGCCCTTTGTGTCACTGCTGGTGTCCGCCCTTTTCCGCTGGCCATGTAGCATTTCTATTCATTTGTCTCCCAGGTCTGTCACTGCTGGTGTCCGCCCTTTTCCACTGGCCATGCAGCATTTCTATTCATTTGTCCCCCAGGTCTGTCACTGCTGGTGTCCGCCCTTTTCCGTTGGCGATGCAACATTCTACTCATTTGTCTCCCAGGTCTGTCACTGGGGGTGTCCGCCCTTTTCCGCTGGCGATGCAACATTCTACTCATTTCTATTCATTGGTCCCCCAGGTCTGTCACTGCTGGTGTCCGCCCTTTTCCGTTGGCGATGCAACATTCTACTCATTTGTCTCCCAGGTCTGTCACTGCTGGTGTCCGCCCTTTTCCGTTGGCGATGCAACATTCTACTCATTTGTCTCCCAGGTCTGTCACTGGGGGTGTCCGCCCTTTTCGGCTGGCCATGTGGCATTTGAATTCATTTGTCTCCCAGGTCTGTCACTGCTGGTGTCCGCCCTGTCCGCTGTTTTCATTTGTCTTCCAGGTTTGTCGCTGGTGGTGTCCGTCCTTTTCCGCTGGGCATGCAGCATTTCTATTCATTTGTTTCCCAGGTCTGTCGTTTTCACTCTGTCAAGTTCGCAGCTACGATTACAATCAACTCTTCTCACTCTTCCATTTCCTGTGATGTTTGGTTTGGCGATGCGCTCTCGCCAGAGGGTGACCAAGTTAGTTAACTGTGCAGAGCCTAAGCCCAGGCCTTGCAATGGCAATGTAGACCACGGGCCATGCAGCCATGGGTCACAATTCAACTTTTCTTCCTGAAAGCTTTCACTCAGTTGCATCTGACCCCCCTACTATTTGCGTCTCTCAGACGAATGAGAACGTCACATGTTGAAGTGGCCTGATTCTAGTTTCAGATTTCTGGTGGTCTATCTTGGGAAGTTGTTGGACTGTTGCTGGGGGGCGGGTCGAATTGAATCTTCTCCCAGCAGCGAGTGGATAAGTCGGAATCCTTGACAGTGCTTCAGAACTTCGTTTTGAGCTGATGCCGCTATCCCTGCAGCATTTTTTGATGAGATGAAGAAACGGGATTCGAAGGGCCGCATCAATGCCAACTGGCAACAGCAGCAGAACGATGCGGAGGAGGCCAATGTATGTGCGGCGCTTGACAGACTGGATTCCAGCCACTTGGACCCATCAGTGACAGTTTAGCGGGCTCCATTCACTTTTAAAGTCTCGGATTACTTTCTCCACTTTAGTCTTCAATATCATAGACTCAGTGGACTCATGGCCTGCGGTTTACGTCAATCACTGACAGGTGGTGGGAGGTGATGAGAGTTTGGTAGACTTGCAGCAAATCTTACAGATGACAAATGTGCCAACCAAGGTGGGAAGGTGAAGGTCTCTTCGATGCTTGCCTCAGCATTTTCTTCACTTCACTTGGCGGCTTCTTCCGTCGTGAGTACTGCCAAGGACACTTCTCAAGCGGGCAGCAAGGCTAGGACCTTTGTCTCAGCATCCTATTTGCTTGGCCAGCGCAGGCAAAGCGAGGAGGGCTCGAATTGACAGACCTATCTACCGCTACGTTCATGTTTCAGAAGAATCTCCCTGACTTGCATTGAATCTCCCCGAAGCATTTTTCAGAAGGAAACCGCCCCTACAAACATTTTGCAGCCCAACGCCACACGCTAATTTTGAATCTTAACTATGTTTCGTCAGTTTCGTCGTCTGTTTGTTCCTATTGGAGTTGGTGATTGGCGGCCAGCTCTTTTCCATCGATCCAGGCAGATCAATCACCGACGAATTGAACCAATTATACCAACTTGTAGTAGCCTCACATAGTTTGCCAGCCAGACAGGTCGTGCGGCTCGTGCGTTTGAATCCAAATCTAAAGAGGTGCAACGGGCTAAGGACACTTAGGAGTTTAGATTGAACGTAAGTAGGGAAGTAGTACTGTCATGTAAGAAATAGTTTTGGAAATGCAGTGGCCGGCCAAGCCTTCAGGGGGCTCTTGGAAGTTTCTCAAAGTCCACAAAGAGTATTCGCGCCTTCCATTGATTCAATCCTACCTGTACCTAAACTCTGGGTCTGACGGACTGTGTGCCCAAAGAATTTCCATTGATGGTTCTCCCTCATCTGAGGTTCAAGAAAGGGCCTTGTAAGACTTTGTTGTTTTGGGCACAAGAGCGTGCCGTGTAGAGCACCAAAGCAGTGGACCAGTGGCAAGAGAGAACTCGGAGAAAAGGGTGCTGCCAATTTAGAATGGATCTTTCTGACTCTAGTTTAGGGAGGGGTGACTTATAATTTAGACACCACCTTTTGGGGTCGAATTTTCTGGTGCGCTTGGCGGTGCCCATCTTTGTGCTCACTGTTCGTGTTCTGGGGCAAAGTCCAACATATATACATATTTTTAATATATATATATATAGTAAATAAAGCAATGGCCGCTCCTCCACGCCACCCTCGGGACGACCTGGAGACCGTCTCCTCCACCCACGCCGCCACGTTAACGTCTCACGCCGGGTTGCTGCAGGATCACCTGTGACGTGCGGACGGTGCCTGTGAGTGAAGGAAGGGACGGTACACAAAGATCCAAACATTCCATGCGACTGGCGTGACACGTTTGCCTACATTTGGTTGAGAAGGGGTCGGTGTAAGTATAAATGTGAGACATGGAGTGTCTGGGGGATCTGCGTATGATGATGGTGATGATGATGATGACCTTTGCTTCCCATCATGGCGCCCCCCTTCGGGGTGCCATGGTCAGCCGCAATTGCAGTTGGAACAGTGATATGGAATCATGGCGCCGCCATGTGCCACTTGGAGGAATCACCCAAACATGCTGATGCTGTCCCTTGCGAACACGCTTCTTTCAGATGGGCAACATCAACTGTTTTTGAAGGTTGGCCTGTTGCCCAATTTGGGATGCCGTGCATCGCCGATCGATACCGAGGCCCATCAACAAGGGTTACATTCCCTGAAACAAGCTTGGAAGTGGACAATTGCCCGCTGGATCCCGTTGGATAACCATTTCCCCCTACAATTAGGCGGCTTTCCAGTTCCAGGATCTTTTCAGGGAGTGTCCGAGCTGAACTGGGATGAGAATGTGAAGAAGTGGCTATGCCAGCACCCCCCCAATTTGGATGGTTTTATGGCATTAAGGGCCAAAGGAGGTCCACAAAACCATCCACCATTGAACCAACATCTTCTGGATAAAATTGAATCGCTTTTCATGTAAGATGATTGGGCACCTGCAGGACCAGGGCAGCAGGACCAGGAAGATTCTCCATTTGACCAAATGGGACACCCATTTTGACACTTCTGGTGGTTCAAACTTTCTTCATGCTTCCCCACTCATAAGACTCAGGGCAAACTCCTCCCAAAGGACCAGGTAGTTGTGTGCGGAAGGCACTGCGCTGTCAGGAGTTCCAAAGAGGTGGGTTTTTTAGATGTTTCTAGTCCCATCGAATGAGTGGATAATGTACATCCCTATCCTCGATCCAATAAGCGCCCCGACATGGAACTCCGGAAACGTTTTCCCTGAGCACCTAACAGAGTGGGGCTGATGAATCAACGCTGCTGAGCACTTTTGATGTTTAGGGTCCCTATCTTGTGACAGCCCCATCTGAAAATGTTGGTTCTTTGTTCCTTGGTTATCTCTGGTTCAGTTTTTCCTCGTTTCAGGTGATGTTTGAAAGTCTTGTCAAGCAAGACATTGCTTTCTTTGATGGCACCATGACCGGTGACCGGGAAGCAGTTACGTCCTCGCTCGCTCGCTTCCATCCATCTCTACCTACCCCTCTCTCTCTCTTTATCTCATGTTGTTTTTTCATTTGATGTTATTTGGAGTCGGAGAGAGTGAACCAAGGCAGCGCAGAGAAATAAACGTTTAGACTTCTACCAAGATACCCATGGGATGTCATGAGGTCCCCAATCGGCTGTAAGTATACATGAAAAAAACGATTCGGATGTATAGCTGATCAAGAGTTGTTCATGAAATCGCCACGTTTTTTTTATTCTCCACAAATCATGCCCAGTGTCAGCTTCCAACAGCTCTTCAACAAATCATTGTGTTTTAGGACGTCATCCTTGTGTATTGGAGTTGTTTTAGCATTCCTTTCGTTCACTTGGGGTGCAATTTCTTCGTCTTCCAAGGTCATGTTTCCCGGGTTTTGTGTGGGGAAGGACGTCCCCACCAGCCGAAACCTGGCCATGTCCCCATGCAACAGAATCACTCGTTCCAGTCATGCTTTAGCTTGTTGAAAGAAATCAGCCACACCCAGGTAAGCAGACCTCGCCGTGTATCCTGCACAATTTCTCACACTCCCATCTTCAATGGACAGGGCCGACCAGCACTGTCGCTCCGCATGCCGCATGCCACCCTCGCTCCGCGGAAACAAATGCGAGGCCAGCTGACCAGTCGGATGACCAACGATGTGGCGGCCGTGGTGCAGCCGGTGCGACAGATCATGCCACTGGGACCAGGTCAATGTGCATTTGGTTTTGGGGTTCAGGGGCTTCTACTAATATGAGTTAGACAGAATCCAAGGATGTCCAAGTAAAAGGAAATTTTATATAATAATGATATATATATATATAATGTAAAGATATGTAAAATTAGACATATGTTGTAATATTTATATATATATATATACTATACTATGAATTGAGTAATTATATCGGGAGAGGTCGCTAGGATAGCACAATGGCCAAACAATATCACCGGTCACCATGACCGCAGTTATATACTCTAGTACATCCAGGCTCAAGAAATCAACACTTCACCCCCAGCCACACATCCCACCTGCCTGCAAGCGCTCGATGGTAGGGAACCCCGATGGCACAACCCCTGCCGTTGTGCGCAACACGCTGATTTCAGGAACACCTTCTTGACGTCCATCCTCCGGCTAGTTGGGGGTCTCTTTATGTGCTTGTTCACCTCATGGAAGCTGACAGCCGCTGGGTGAGAAGGGATGAAAGAATATGAAAGAATCCGAGAAGGATGGGAGAATAAGTTATGTGGATGGGCTCGGTGATTGTTCCATCATGACTCAAGTTGTGTTGTTCAGCGGTTTTTCATTGTCTCGGCTGAAAACGTGTGAATCCACAATAGATCTGAGCAAAGCATCATGAGGAGGTGTTCTTTTGGCACTTGTTACTAGTAGCTTCTTGTTACTAGTAGCGATGGCCTCCAACCTAATGGTGATGACCTCCAACCTAATAGCGATTGCCTCCAACCTTCTCGCGATGGCCTCCAACCAAATAGCGATGTCCTCCAACCTAATAGTGATGGCCTTCAACCTTGTAGCTTCTTGTTACTAGGCCACAAGCGGCCGCAAGGTGCTCATCGCCACAATGACCAGGTTGTTCGTTTGTAGAGCCACTGAGCAACGCCCTCCCCAGGCCTTCAGATGCGAGTATGGCCGGGCCCATTTAGGCCCGTCCTGTTTCCAAACCTATAACATCAACTTTTGGGAAATTATCTCATCCACATGAGGTTTTTGGGATGCATGACTGTAGGTTATCTCCTGATGTGGATGAGAAAGAAAATGTATATACTAAGCTGTATCTGGGTGATATCCTCATTTTTGGGGGGACACTATAAAGTATCTCCACATGAGAATAGCATCCAGTTGAGGATCTATGATTCTATGTTCCTTAAGAATCCTTGAACCCTCCACAGCAGGGGTCCAGACCCTCAAAAACCCATTCCATCGCTGCGGGTGTGTATACATATATATATATATATTCATAATATACTTTTTCTTAAAGAACGTTGTTTAACAAACACGCGCACACACACACACGAACAAAGCAAAACACAACCATGAAAGAACATAATAGCACATGGTTGTGTCTATAGTTAGTTAGTTAGTTAGTTAGTCAGTCAGTTAGTTAGTTAGTCAGTTAGTTAGTTAGTCAGTTAGTTAGTTAGTTAATTAGTTAGTTAGTTAGTTAGTCAGTTAGTTAGTTAGTTAGTGAGTTAGTTAGTTAGTTAGTTGTAGCATCGTGGCCGCCCCAACTCTCACGGTGGCCGTCTCGGTCTGATCTTCAGGTCTTGGCAGCCACCATGATCGGCCCTGTGGTCTACCTCACTGGGGTTTACGCCCGCTGGTCGAAGCTGCTCGGTGTGGACCAAAACGCGGCGGATGGGGATGGAGGAGGGTGGAGGAGGGTGGAGGGGCCGAGTGCAGAAATCCATGGTTTCTGATCTGCGTTACGCTGTTCAAGCAAAGAGCAGATCAAACATCATAAAACTATGAAACCCAAGATCTACAGGATTGGGTGTTAACGCCTGAGCCAACAACTTGGATGCATGTTGACACTGGATACCCACTCGGCCTGAATTGTTCAATGTCGAAAACTGCCAGGGCTGGCTCAGACAGATCTTGATGTGTTGATCGAAAAGTATTGTACATATCTTTATTTGGATCACCAATTGGAATCCGAAAATGACAGGTCATGGTCACGTAGCTATGTTTTATTATGTTTTTGAGCTTTGAATATTTGGCCAACAAACCCTCCCCTGATTGACATGTCACCACATCTCAACCTAAGAATCGAAGCAACGACAATCGCATGTGTCAAGCAAATTGACAATTGTGTCGCAGTGGCTGGACTCCAGCGCAGAAGGAGGCAAGTGAAGATGAATCAAGTAATTACTCTGAATTGAGAACTTTCTCTCATGTGAAAGCATTCTATACATTCACTACTCAAGTCATGTATATATTCCACTGCATGAAGGACAGGGAGAGTCTCCGTCCTTTCATCCCCTCGCAGCTGCCTGGTGAACCTCCGCTCCGAGGCAAGTGAACATGAGCATCCGCGTGTCCATGGCCGACGCCAACGCGGTCTCCACGGAGGCCCTGCGCAACATCCGCACCGTGCGGTCCTTTGGCGCCGACCTGCTGGACGCTGAGACAGGGGGAGGGCGGGGTAAGGCGGGTAAGGGTTTGGGTGGGGAGGGAGACGGGAGACGGGGGACGGGGGGAGCCAGTCGGCTCGGAAGGTGCGTGGTTTTTTGGGGAGACAGACCAGTGGAAGGAGGAGTGTTTTGGGTGGTGAGGAAGGAGAGTGTACAGAGTGCCATTTCCAAGAGTCCAGATTGCAGGGAAGGAGAAGGTGGCCAAAAGTAATAGAGAGCGAAGGGTGGTGGGGAATGGCACCTTATTAGGGGTACAGATGGTGAAGATATGTGATATGCGAAGATCCTTTCGATTGTAATGACATGGCCCCCATGGCCACTGTCATTGGACCACGAAATCCTTTACGACCGAAGGTCATAGCAGTGTTTGTTCTAGCCAGGTAAGCAATGGATCGTCATACATATATATATATGTTGATGCTTGGTGTCTAGTCGTCTGGTTCTTTGAAGAAGAATTAGCAGGAAGACTTTTGGTCCACATGTTGTACATTGTACCTTTGCAGGAAGACTTTTGTCTTTGCAGCTTCAGAGCCAAAGGTTGGAACAATTTCCATATGTGATGCCACCTAGTATGCACCACTCCCTGCGGACATACCCTGCGATAGGAGACGCCTCGGAGATGACACACCACTCACTCAGCACCACTCAGTCACGTCTCGTTCCTCGTCCCACTCACTTCGCAACAAAGGAAGTGACCGCCTTCCGACAGCACATGGACACGGCGCTGAAGAATGGTGCTTTCATCGAAGAAGAGGGACACAGGGCGAAGCACGCGGAGGTTTTTTCCACGGTGTCTTGGGTGAACCCCGTAGCCTAGGATCAAAAGCCCTTTGCATTTCAAGGTGTCTTGGAATCTTGAATTCCATATCGTGTTCTATTTCGTGAACTCATTGAGCAATTCATGGTTTCGCCATTTCTGTAGTTTGCACCGGTAGTACGCAAACATAGGAGCCAAAGTCGCCCATGCTTGGAATAGGACCTTATGAGAAGAACCCACGGTGTGCAGAAATTGGCAGGGAAGATGTACAACCACAAGGCTTTGAACGGCTGTGAGCCTGGGTCAAGGCGTTCCAAAACATCAGCTCACAGATACTTGATGGGACTGGCATATTGACCAGCATCGCCCGCGGTGGTTGAAAAGAGGTCAATGATGTAGGTATGTAATTCCAGTATATTCCAGTCGCATGGAGTGTTTGGATGTGTTTGAATGTATGATGTTTGGAAGGACCCTAAAAAGTCCCTAAAAACCTGCCTTCACATGCAGTTCCATTCACTGCCCAGGCATGAAGGACTCCTATGCCTCTGCGGGTGTCACGGCCATCACACAATACGTGGACTTCGCAGCCACCATCCTAATCCTCTGGCGGGATGGGGGAAGGAGGCAGTTTTTGTGGTGGGGAATCTTGTGTTCAGGGTCCTGGGGCGAAGTGACATGATGTTTCTGTTCCAAGGATTGGACGTCGAACGCATCAGTCTCGGACCATGTGAACATCATTGAACATCCTATACTGAAGTGGGCCAAGGTGATCAAGTGTTTGCAGGCTCGTGTTTCACGGGGCCCCGTTTTTCACGACGCACGTTCAACGAATCTGGTCATCGAAGGAGCACGTGTTCATTGAAGGAGTCCAATCCATTTGGGTTTTGTGATGATACAACTTCCATGGGCGAGTTCTTCCGTTTTTGTTTGCAGTGCCAGCAGTGGTGTGTCTGTTGTTTTTAAAGAAAGGTATCGTTCACAGTACCTTCAGAGCCACTGGAGGATGCTGAGAGATGTTGAGTCAGGCGAGGATGCCCGCCAAATCGTAGAGACCTTCAGTCCCGAAACCTTTTTGAAAGGCAGAAAGGGGTGTTTTGTTAGGGTTTCTGTTTTTGTGGCTTGCATCACACAGATTTGGTCCGCTCCGCGTTCGCGGTCGTTTGGGCCAGGTATGGCGGCTACGCTGTGCTGGGGTATGGGCAAACGGATTTGCAGACGCTTGGCACGAATGGGCTGGGGTAAGAAAAGGAAGAAACACGTATCGGCGTATCGCCCATACCCAAGCCGTCCCGAGACGCCGCTTCACAGTATTGCTTTGCTCATTTTTGCTCAGCATGATGTAGGGAGATCATGGTCATGTGACCTAAAGACCAAAGGCAACGCAAACACGGAAATTAGCGTTGCGCTTCAGAAGCCTGCAGCAAGGTCCCAGCCGGGCAAACTTGCACATGATCCCAGCCAAAACCCTTTGTTACATCGAACCACAGCCGGTTCGAATGCAGCAACGCTTGCAGTGCAGGGGCGAAGAAACCATCTTTGGGCTTCCAACGTCGAAAGTGAGCAGAAGAAGTTGACCAACCATGTTCACTTCAATGTTTAGTTAATAACTTCTCAAGTATGCCCCAAGCATCTTTCTATGGCCCTTTGGGCTTGGCTTTTAGCTTGAAGTTTCGTGATGAAACTTCGGTGGGTCCACCTGCCAAAGTTGATGTTCTGCCCCTGCAGCTGCTAGGACTTCAAACCAACTGGGGCTATTGAACTGGGTACCCCTTCTGCATGGTGAAAGATTGAACCCAGAAACTGCGGTCGATACGTATGCATTCGGCATACATAGTTGCCATATGTTGCCATTTCCTTCAGTAGCAAGGATCGTGAACCCAGCCTCTTGAAGAAGACCTGAGGGAATGTGAAAATCCAGCTCAGTGGCCAGTGGTCAATCGTCATGTGCAGGCTGCCAAGGCTTTAATGAACACCAATCCCCATCTCACTGAGGATTGGGAATCTCATCACCTTCAACCTCTACTGGAACATGCTGAATGATGCTCGGCCAGTTTGGGTGCAAAGAGGACCTGAGATGACCAGGCTCTCATCAATAATGTTGTTCCGAGTCCAAAAACGGAATAGACAGATAGCGTCCAGAGTCCAGGGAGAGAAGGATGGCAGTTCAGCCCCGAGCTTCGACATAGCTTGACCATGAAAACCAATCCCAAGGCCACCAGGTGGTTCCATCCATGTAACCACCACCATGATGATTTCAGGGAATGAAAAAAAGAACAAATAACCACCATGTCCTATGGATCCACATACCTTCTGAGAAGGTGATTTGAGACAATGTAGGCTTGGAGGGTCCAATTGCCTTCTGAGAAGGTATGTGGATCCATAGGGATGATGCTTCAGGGAATGAAAAAGACCAACTACTGCGTGGGCTGCGTGGCAGTTCTTTGTTTTTCCCGAATGCGTAGCGAAGGGTTCTCGTTTAACTCTGGGGGTCTGGGGGTAGAGTCTTGTTCGCGATCCGTTGTTTCTATGTTCGCAACCGTCCGCAACCGTCCGCAACCGTCCGCAACCGTCCGCAACCGTCCGCAACCGT